TGTTTTCTTCTGAATGAAAGGGAAGAGAGAGCAAGCAATGAAGAAGAGAGTAAGTGCTAAGATACAATTTTTTTTCTTTGTCAATTTATACAAAGGAAATGGAGTTTTAAGAAGGAGTTTGCTTGTGAGTCAAACAATGGAATATTTCACTCAGAATAGTTTGTGCTATCTACCATTTTTCTACCATTTAAAAAAATATATATATAATTCTAATTGTACTTACTTAATTGACTTGTGTTTTATATGAGAAATATTTATAGCTATTTATTTATAATTAGTTATTTTTAGTTTTTTGAAGTGATAAGAGTAATAATTGAAAGTTTAGGAACAAAGTAAAACATTGCCAGTTGAAATAAAGAAACAAGAGAGCCTTTTGCTTAACTTTTTTTTTTTACCTTCTATTTTGTTTTAGTCTTGCTTTATTTGTTTTTAGCACATCATTTAAAGTTCTTAGGGAAGGAGTAAGTATACTATTACTTACAACCGAAGATGGGAATCTGATGTATGCTATTGAAGAAATGAGGGTTGGATGCAAAGATACTGTGAAGGCAGCATGGACAGTTTTGAAGGCAGAATGGACAGTTTTAAGTAATTGATTGTGTAAAGAAAATAAAGTGGCAATCTTCTTGCTTGAGAAACTGGGAAAACAAAAAGTGGAATAGTTTGAAAAAAGACATGTAGAGCTTCAAAAGTTCTCCAAATCCCCCATGAAAAGAACTTCACAATGGAGTGAAAAACATAAGTCAGAGGAATAGGAGAAAGACAAACCTAGAGACACAGTTTTCATAGTCTTTTTCATGGAAATGAAAGTCAAAACATTGGTAAGTGTTTGAAATTGCCAAACTAAAATATGTAAGGAGACAGAATATTGGAGGCAAAAATGGGAGGTGGAATGTGAAAAACAAATCATAGAGTTAAGAAGACAGTCAAGAGAGTACAGGATTGCAGCAGGCAAGCAAAATGAGTGGGTGAAATGAGATGTTCAATCATATCACTGGTTGCTGATGGGAATTGAGAAAACTGGAATACAGGAGAGATTGAGAAGGAATCATGATCCAAGCAGGTGCTAGCATAAGGAAAAGTCAAAATACTTGCAGATTGATTTAAAAAAGAATTGGGTAAAACAGATATAATCCAGGGGAAGTAACTGTTGAAGAAGTATTCCAGAGAATACTCTGAAATCAATGATCACAAATAGAAGGACTTGTCTTGAAAAGGAATATTTGTCTTTCTCTGATATTGGAGGAAAATGAAATAAACTAATGGTGATTATATACAAGGATAATTTGAGCAACAAGGGAAAATAGTTGAGTGTGACTCTCATCTAGATTTTCAATACAAGAGGAGATAAAGCAACATAGGAAATGAAAGTATCTGCTCAAAGATATAGAATATAGCATATGTTTGAGAGCTTGAGGAAAATGATTGGAATAGATGATGCACAAAATGGGATTGAGCCAAAGATTGTAGAGTAGTTTTTAGTATCCAAGTAAGATTGGTTAGCATGAACTTAGCATGTAACCATTTCAAATGCTTCCCCCCGAATAAATACTTACAACTCAAGAATCAAGATAAATAGATAATGTGTAAGTTACCTGACATTGGATGAAGAAATCAAATTATGGCCAAAAAACAAGTGGAATGTGAAATTCTGTGAGGCAAGGAGAAGGAATATTAACCTGTGTTGTTAAAGAAAGTCAATAGATTCAAAATCATAATAAAGCAAAATCAAAAGAAATATAATTAAGACACTTGAGTCAATTAAAAAATATGTTTTCAAATATTTTGAGGGCAATGGAAATTATAAGATTTTATGTTTATAACCAGTTTCTAAGAAAATTTTATTTTCAGTAATACTTAAATTCTAAATAGCTCACTTAGAAATATATATGAAATTTCTTATATTATATATATATATATATGGACTGAGAGAGTGCAACACAGCTTTTAGCATTATCCCATTTGGAAAAGTAAATGGAAAAAAATGCCATGAATGCAAATGATACTTGTGTTAATCCTACCGAGAAGCAAAGTATTCTAAACTCCTCTCAAAATTGCCCTCAGAAATGCTTGAAAAGAAAACAGAAAAGATAACATATTCAGTCGGGGCAGACACTAAAGCCAGACTGGAAAAATAAACAACAAAAAAGAAATCACCTCCAGCTTGACACACTGCAACTTGTGGGAGCAGAACTTGCAACTTCAAGGGGAGGAACTATAAGGGAATTGGGAAGAATATGAGAGACAGGAAGCCAGTGCAGCAGCAGTTCTCCAGTCTTTAAAATGAGAGCCTGTCCAACTCCTGTTTCTAGTTGGTTAAATAGACAGAAAGTGGCTTATCTAGGAGAAATTAAATAAAATATTTTTCTAACTTTCATTCAGAGTAAGAAATATTAAAAATATTGGTATAGGCCACTGAGAAAGATAGAGCAGGAGAGCCGAGGATGTCTGCAAGGGAGTAATTATAATGAAGATTATCACAGCTTCATCAGGAGAAAAGCAAAGAATGAAATAAAGAATGAACATACTGAGGGATTGAGTGAATGTGGCAGGGTCAGCGGAGTTTACATAGAGATGAAAGGTTTTAGGGAAGGAGCACTTGCAAAGCAGAAAGAAAATTGGTTGTGATTGGAGAGTAGGGTTTTGGTGGTAGAGATTTTGGAAATTGGGTCAATCTAAGGTTCTTCTTTGAGAAATGGAGGTAGAATGGAAGCAAAAGTCCTGGGGAAGAAGGAATATATATTACTGTGTCAGGTGTGTCCTTCGTATGTTTTCCGAAACCTTGATGAATGGGAACAGCAATCAGAGCAGAAAAGAGGATGAGTCTACGAGTCCTTAACAATACGTTAAAAGGTCATAATAATTAGAACAAATGAAACATCTGCTGAAGTCTTTAGCCTTTGCCATGTGCTGTTCATTGTTCGTCTTTACCCCAACATTTATTTCTTGACAAAACATCCACAAAAGCAAGGTAAAAGAAAAATATTTACAACTCTTGTTATATATTGGTGGTCCTCCCAACAAGTTGGCTTTCAGATGACCTTGACTGGCACATTGAGTAGGTGAAAGGTCCTGAAAATAAGGCCCTGTGCAGGCAGGTTCCAGCCTCACCAAGGATATGGCTCACCCACCATGAAAAAATAAGGTGACTATGAATGGTGCTCCCGCCATATTGTGAACATAGAAGTAAGGGTGGAATCATACTCTTTGGAGGATGAGCAAAAGAACAGGCGGTGTGAGAGAAAAGTAAGAGGATATGTATTGCTTAGAAGTCATGGGGAGAGGTGGAACTACTTGTATATAGATCTAACACTGAGAAAATTTTAGTGTTACTTCATTCCAGCATGATACAATAAATCAAATTTTAATTATTTAAGTTCAGCTTTATGTCTTTACAGACTTACCTCTAGTACTTAAGACTCATTTGATGCCATGTGACTATTCACACTAATTTTTCAGCTTTCTTTAGTTTCTCTTCCTTGTGGAAAGTAGCTGGAACCAAGTAAGTGGCCAGAACTTTGGCAGGAAAGCTACAAAATTTGGGATACTACAAAGATTTTGAGTTAAGAGTTGATGTTTTTAAATGAAGGACAGTGAATGACCAGCAGCGGAAGATGGAGAGAGGATGTCTTTAGCAGCCTTAAAGGAGGTTTTGCAGGAAGAATCTATAGCTGTAAAGGAGCTCTAGAGAGCAGATGTGAGGGAGAGCTCTATTATAACAGTGTGCCTAAGAAAGAAAGAGTAAGGTACAAAGCAGGACTGATTTATGGACCAGAGTTTTGTGGCAGACAATCATCTACATCAGTATGGGAGTTGGAATGAAACATTACGAAAGTGATCATGAGCTAATTCCTATAACTCTTTTTATACTTTTAAGAGATGATTTATTTCTTTCATGGTTATTTGCCTAGCCATTAATTAATTTATTCATTCAACAAATATACACTGAGATTCCTCTGTATACTAGGAATAAAGAAAGGTGCTGTAGATATACCTGGAAACAAGATGCTTAATTTTCTATCATATTCTAGGCAATAACTCAAATAAAAAAACCAAAACATTATAGTATAGCATGTACTATACTATAAAGGACTGTGGTCCATAAGTCAGTCCTGCTTTGTACCTTACTCTTTCTTAGGCACACTGTTATAATAGAGCTCTCCCTCAGATCTTACCCTTAAGTTTTAGCACAGATTGATATGCATTCAAAACTGTCTTCTCTCTTGATATTCTTTTACCTAATGAAGATTTATTTCCCATGAGATTTTGTCTCCAAGTGTAGACCTTAGATTGAATCGAAAGGAATTGCCAATATTCAACCATTTGTACAATGAAATAACTATATTTTACATATTTAATTATATGTTTTATATATTTGAGATCTCCAGTAGGCTGCCCCTGCTAGCCCTTCAAACACAATTTAGTATGTTTAAATGCATGACCAAGTCCTCAGCCTTGGGCAGCTCCACTTTCCTACAATATTTAGACAGATTCTCTAGTGCTCACAAATATTATGTAATGTATCCGTTGTAATAGAGTCCATGAACAATTTTATCAATTAGTGTGTGGTTTTTCTTCCAAAGTTTTATAATGCCAGAGGCAAGAAGAATTATTTATATTCTCTTTTACTCTTTTCAAATTAGGGAGAATATTCTGATCCAATATTAAGCTTGCCACTTACTTAGAAATTATATCGAATTTGACACAAAAGCAATATTTTCTTTACTTATGTGGCAATATCTTCTAATGTTTATAGTCTTTGGAGATCTTCACAAAAGTGTTAAATTTCCTAAATTCAATAAACACCATATTTGTCACTGAAACATAATAGATATTTAATGTATTTTTAGACTTAAGTTAGAAAAATAGACAATGTAAGTTCATATTGAGCTTGTAAGGGATCTTCAAAGATAAAGTGGCAGTCACTAAATCAAAAGGAAAATAAACCTAGAACAATTTACTCAAAGAAAGCCAGAAAATATGACATTAAAATAGCTCACCTTTGGGGGCTGCTATTCGGGTTTTCTTCTTCCATTTGTCTCTTACATGTATATCTAAATATTGATATGCAAATAACAAAAATAAGAATAAAGATAAGCATATTTGTGTGCAGTCAAACATCTCTTTAAATTTCACAAATTGGAAATGTATGTGTATTCACTATTATAGCAGTTATTCTGTGAAATAATTCTAAAAATTATAGTTTGATGCTATGTGAGTGAGTGGTTCTGTGGTTTTTAAAGAAAGACTTCAGCAGTTCATACTGTGGTAGTTATTCAGAAGGAAGAATTTTCCCGTGAGTAGTGAAGGAGCACGTTTATAAAATCTGTACTACAGAAATTGCTGATGTATAAAGTAGATCATGACTCTTTTAAGAAATTATTTCCTTCTCTCTCTCAACACTTTATTAAGATTATGATGAACTCATAAAACTTTTTAAACTGAGGTGTTGATGTCAGATTCCAGGATAAGACCAATGAAATTTTACTGTTGACAATGAGAATTCTCTAGTTGGGTTTAAATCAGGAATGATTTTCAATTAGTATAATTTAGAATAAGATAAATGTAGATTTTACAACACAAATAGTCAATCTCTCCTTTCAATAGTTTCTAGTTCTTTAACAGTTCATTAATTTATACATACATATTTTTTAGGCCATAATTAGTTCCTTTGATTTCAAGAATCTACTATTCACTGGTGGTAAAAGAGTTTCCATTAGTACCCTCTAAAATGTTTATATTTAACCTGATAAAAATTCTTCATATCATGAAAAAAATTTTAAAGCTAACATGGATGTTTCTTTTTGCGATTTTCATTAACCATAAATTGTTTAAGAATTCCTTGCTTTCATTTGACTTCTCTAGTCTCTAAACTCTAATTTCTGGGCCAGAAAAATGTGCTAATATGTGAGCCAAGGTGTGTTCTGGCTTGGGTTGCAAAATTCTATGAGGAAGAATCCAAAAGCAAACCAGAAAACTTTCACTTCATTACAACTACATTAGGGTTAGAAGTCTAGTCTCCTCTCATAGTTGTTTTATGAGGTGATAATGAAGGGAAAATTCTATGGCCTAGACAATAACACATATTTTAAAGTAGGTTCCAACAGATCACTTCAACCTACCAACTATAAAAGGAGTTTGAATGACATCTTCTGGCTGAGAATAAATAGACCTTTTCTTAAATAAAAGGAATGATAGACCAAGACATATTAATGGATTTATGAAACCTATCACTACCACGATACACTTTGTGTACTTTCCTGCTATCCTTTGTTCCTCTCTTCTAACACATACTAGGCATTTTTAAAAAATACAAAGAATCATTGATTGGGCATATCACGGTGATATTAATAGTTGTGATAAAAGTAATCATGACACTTTCGATTGGTTAAGACAATCTAAAAATAATAATAATGGCAATGATAGTCTTTTACTTTTTAAATTTAAAAACACTTTCTCATGTACATTTCATGAATTCTCAAAATTCAGTTAGAAAACTGAGGCTCAGTAACTTATTTATCCAACCTCACACATCTAGTAAGTAAAGAAGTGGAGAAAGGAACCCCCCAAAGCACAATAAGAATTGAAAAATGTATTATAAAATTTTCAGTAAAGCTAACACTTTGGTTTGACTTACATGTTTCAAGGGAGATTATTTCTTACATTGTTTAGTGAATAGTAGGTACTTAGCAATATTTAAAGAATGAAGGAATCAATGAATCAAATGATCTACTTATTACAATTCTGCCTCCCACAAGTTTCTAAGGATTTTAGAATTAAGGATTAATGAATTTAGAACTAAGGATCAATGAATTAAGAAATCAATGAATTAAATGATCTACTTATTACAACTGTACCTCACATGAGTTTCTAAGGATTTGAGATATATAAAAATACAGTAGAGCTAGAGAAAGGAAAATTACATATAATCTAAAGCAGAAAATATTCCAGTAAAAAAAGTTCATTTATTCAAATAGGAATGAAAGAGCACATTGGAAATAAAAAGAATTTAAGTACACAAACATTTTTTATTCAACTCATACCACTGAAATAGAGATGATTTTCTCCTTCCGGAAAATGCTAATATACCTCAGACCACAAAGGATACCAATAATGAATCTATAAAATTAAGAAACAAATATAACAACTTAATTATATGAGCTGCGACTTTAAAAATATTGTTTTATATTCATAATATATTGAAATGTTAGTTGTTGAAGAAGATTGGAAAAATAAACATCTTGTCTTTTATTAGTTGATGGCTTTGAGATATTAATTTTATGAATGAAATATGATCACATATAAATTTTATGTTTAAAATAAAGAAATATCTTTTTAAATAGAAAAAAGTGGTGCCTCTGTAAAGTGAATACATTGATGATGTTGACAAATGAATGTGGAAAGCTGGTGTTCAGCTGCCAATTCTTCCCAAGGATAGATAATTCAGGCCCCACTTTTACTACTAATAGTACATGCTTAGATTTAATGTTGAATGAAGCATGAGAGAAGGACTCAGTGAAGGAGGAAGGATAAATGCTAATTAACTTGAACTGATCTGATGCTCTTCATTAGTGCTAAATATTCCTGAATTGCCACTGCCTACAGATCCAAAACGCAGAATCTCCCAATCTAGCTTTGCATATTTAGTAGCATATGGGGTATTGTCAGGCAGCCAGGAACTTTCTCATCTGCTTGATTCTGAAGCACGGGGTTGTCCCTAATTTAATACCTTGAACTGATTCTATTTAGGTTGTAATCTGCCTTAATTGCTATTAAGATATTGAATTGTATAAAACAGCTGTTAAATACCATTTGTGACTGAGCAAGAATCATTATGTGGAATAGAAAAAGGCATTAAAAATTCAAAATCACAGTTTATTTAGAGAGCTAATGTCTTAATTAATAGTGTTTCAGAATTTTTGTAGAGTTTCTGAAGTGAAAGTCTTCAAGAAGATTTTCAATTATGAGATGCATTATGGAAGTTTATTGCCCAAATTAAGGAACAATATTCTAAATAGAGATCTGTGTTTATTGCCCAAGAAATAAATTTTAAGATGTTTTAGTCCTTTCATTTCACCCAAAATGAGTACAGTTGATGAAAGTGTTTCCTTGAAGAAATTTCATTAACAGATTAATGGGGATAAATCTGTGCCAACTGTTGAAATGGGGTGCTTTCTTGAAGGGTATGTCTGTCATAGGACTTTTTGAGGTATTTCCACGGAACCAATTCTGACAGCTTAAAATGCCTAAGAAAATGTCCTCAAAATGTGGGAGCAGATTCTTCTGAAAATTCTGTTTGTAGTGTGCAAGTGATGAACTATTACCAAATGTCTGAGACCTTTTCTATAACAGAACCCCCATAGATCTATTTAGATATCATAATTCCTGCTAGGATTACAGAGTTCATTAATGTCCCAGGAATAAATTTAAGGATGTGGGGATATTATATCACAACTGAACACCTTCAGAGAATATGCTATGTGAAAATCTCTGAGAACTGAACCTGCCAGAGTATTTTTATTACTTGAATTAAGGCAATCTAGACTATATGATTGTATCAGTGAAAGAAAAAATGATATTGAATTAATGGAGTGATCAGGGCAAGATATCACTTGATCCTGCAGTATTTGGAAAGCAATTAGAGTTGATAAGAAACATTTTTCAAATTTCTTCTTGTCTAAGTTTTGGAGATCATCGAATTTCCTTCTGGATTAATATTATGACATTTAATTGTATTGAAAGTTGTCATGAATAGATGTTTTGCTGCTACATGGAGAAATTTACACCTACCATTTCATTTAGGTCAAACACAGCCTTCTTTGGAAGGAAGTGATCTTGATTTAGAGAAAAGGTATCAAAGGTCTTCATATAATTATTATGGTTTTAAAAGATAAAGATGTCAACAGAGTTTACACGACTGAGTAGGAGAAACCAAGTATATCGGATATTTACCATTGGTCAATGTTAGTGCATTTGAGAAGTTGGAGCTACTTGATAGAATCTATTTTGTTTTATGTCATAAAAGAAACAAGGTATCAGTTATGTTAGTAACATTCTGTGTTATGACATAGAAACAAAGTAAATAATTAAAAAATACCAATTAGCATCTGGGTTAAAGTGGAGCCTGAATAATACATGCATTAGAAATATTGGCAGCTGAACACTAGCTATCTACATTCATCTTTTCAACATCAACAAAATATTTATTTTATAGGGACACAAAATCTTAGAAATAAGTCATCTTTTTATTTGAAATGATTCTACCTTATTTTAACTGGAAATTAATTAGTTAAGTTATAATAATAACTGGTTATTCAGGAAACAAATTTCAATATCTAAAAATGATGGTATACTTTCTAGGAATGACCAAATATATAGAAATTATAAATGAAAAAGTAGATAGACTTGAACACTTGGCATTTAAAGGTACTATATGGCATAAATAAAATATAAATATTTGTTCTTTGACTCAGTATTTTAAAATTATTCTATTTTATAATAACTTTTAGGATTTATTAACAAAAAAAGAGAAGACTCCTCTATAACTTATTTGTGTGTAAGGTATAAGATAAGGATCTAGCTGCTACGTTTTTATTATCAGTAGCTAGAATGCTACTACATGTAAATTCTATTTCTCATTACATACTATTTGATGTACATGCTACCAGATATACAGTTTCAAATGTAAATCCTACCTTTTTCACAGCCCTGTACATGCCAATTTGAAAAAAAAAAGAAAATACATCTATAACTTTATAGCTATTAGGCTCTATAGTAATCAACTTACCAAATCAAAAGTTCTTAAGAAATTAAAATGATAAGCATTTGAGAATGCAAAACTAATAATAATAATAAGAGTTCTTTTAATCCTATAGTAAATGCTTTGGCATTTTTTGAATCTGTTTTTAACCTTTCTATTCTGTTCATGTATTTCTGATATTTTGTCATCTAGGACCCAAAGAAATTATTCCTCCTGGGCCTAGCCAATTCCTAGAAATAGTATTAATACACGACTTGCCCAGGAGCAGGCTTTTCCTATATAAACCAACCTATTCAGAGCTCACCTATCCTCACCACTTCCCCTCTTGGGCTTTTATACTCCGGGTCATTATTTCCCTTCCCTAATCACCCCCGGTGCAGATACCAGACAAGTAGAGACTATTACTACGCCCCAGAGTCCATTGAAATTATTCAAGCTAGCCAATCCTAAACCTGTTTCTCCTGTCTCGCCCATTTCTTCCTGTAGAAACCACAATTCAGGTTCTTGCCCACATTTTTCCTCACTCCCTCTGCCTCTTAACTGACTCTGGTGCTTCCTCATGGCCCTTCATGGCATGGCGTGACCCCCTTCTTTTGGGAACTGTGAGCTACAATCTTTTCAATGCCAGTTGTCTGATCTGTTGACCTCACTGTACCTTAATAATAGAAGCTATGTTTTAAAACAATCCCATTGATGTATCTTTCTAATGTTATTTTCAAAGATTTTATTTTTGTGTTTTTGCAATATTTTCAAACATCTTGTAACACAAAGTCCCTCTTATTATTTTTGAATCCTGTCTTAATATGCTTGGCTGAAGTAGGATCTGAGTAAGTTAATATGGGCAAACTCCAGGAAAGACTCATGAAACATCTTCTACAAATATGTGCAATGTAGGAATATACTATATTTAATTTTTAGAAATATCTGTAATAATAAAAACCAGAATGGTGAAGGAAAAAAGCACCAAACTAGATGTTAAGAGATTGGAATTTTGGTCCTGAATCTACTAAGTAACTTGTTATCTTAAAAATATCACTAAACTTTCTCAGCCTATTGTCTAGTATCCCATGGACAGAATGAAATCCTTTCCCTGTTAAAATTCCTGTGTCTATCATTCTAATGCTATAATCCTACCATCCATCAAATGCACGTGTGTTATGTGCACGAAGAAGATGCCTCACATGAGTTTGTGGGAAAGAATTACTGGTTTCTATCCTCCTAGTCATAGTTTCATCATCGTGACTCCTTCCACATACTTTTGTTTTCAACGTGTGTTTTCTCAGGATCTTTTCATCCTTGTGATAATCGTCTGTCTTTCCCTCTGTTCTCTCATACAGGATAAAAATCACCTTCCCTCCTCAACCCCTACCAAATATTCATTATTATAAAACTTTGACATTCAAGATAGGTTCCTTTTCGTTATGGTAATTGCTTTGAATGTTAGGAGGTAGATTTAATTTAATAATGATCTAGCTGAAATAATGGTTTTATTTTATTCTGACTCAGTCATAAAATTATTTAGGCTAGTTAAGATAAATTAATGGTATAGACCTCATGCAAGGCAACTGAAAATAGTACCAGTAAAACAAATCTAAACATCTACAATCATCCAAAGGAAGGATCAACTTTTGACACTTAGTGAAATATGGAAAGTACTCATTTTCATGTGAAGCTACAAAGCACCAGGAGAATCCTATCATTGTCAACAATTTATTCTACATGATGAATTTTGTGACAAACTTGACTACAAACAATATACTATCATGCATATCGACGATAATTTTGCTTTTCCCTGAAAGTAATATGCTGAAATTTATCATTGATGAAACAAATAGAATATGCAAGATCACTCTTCTCATTTAACAATCAATTATTTTTCAAATTTGTTGAAGTTCTGAGAAATATACAGATTTGGCAAACATCTAGCCTTTTGCTCAGAATCTACAGAGGAAAGAATCCTTCTTGTGACATGTTTTTGTTTTGTGGGTTTATAATTTTAACTGCATAATAACTGCTCAAAATCTAAAAAAGATTTCAGACTCCATAGACTTCAAAAATACTATACTGCTAAAACATTAGAGGAGCGCATTGGCAATGTATTTTCTATAGACATCAGTCTTAATATGCTTTGGTTTGATATTAAAGCCCAGCAAAAAGGAAAAAAAAATATAGAAAGTATACAGCGCAATTTGTTTTCATAGTGTTATATATCTGATACTCAAAAAATATAAACAAAACTTATATGTCTAATAAGTACTCTTAAAAATGAGTCAACCCTTTACAGCTAAACAAACAGCAAATACCTTTGCATTACTAAACTATGAATAGAAAAATAATACATTAAGACCCGGTCTGGAGTATGAGAAGGCACCGTGAAGTATTGGAAGTATTGAAGTATTGCTTCAAAACAGATCAATGGTGTTACATATTTGACTCAATAAAGGTTAAGGAACAACATTTCTGCATGGGCGCAGTAGCTTCTGTTTATGGTGTCATATTTGACAGCATCAAAACAGCTCCTTTAAACATATCAAACAATATTATTGCAGATGAAGCACCAGCCTGCATATTTGAACTGCTGAGAGCTGGGAATTAGCTGCATTTTTCCTATTAATAGTAAAGTGAGACTAATCCCTTTAAATGTCTTGAGATGCTATTCAGCTATTCAGTTACTGTTTAGATCCTACTGTAATTCTGTAAATAATAAAGAGACTAGTATTTACCACTTAGTAGTTACAAATACTATATTTTCAATATATTTTTTAGTGACTAATATTTTACTCTAATGTTATTTTATGTAATCAATTGTAGGGGGATTTCTTAGTCTACTGTTTAAATAAAAATGTCCATATTGAAATCTGCAATAATTGCAACCATTTATTAGGCACTACCCAATAGGACAAACCTATCAGTTGTGAGTACTGTTGTCTCCATTTTATAGGGAACTAACTGTGGCGGAGAAACGTTATTCTGGTGGACTTTGGCAGGCACCACTCTCTTCCCCACTGCTGGGAGTGCTATCAGCAGACAGCCTTCAGCTATGAGCCCCTCAGGGATTTTCTCAGTTGAATAGAGCTCCTCACCCAAGGTTAAAGTCCTTCCCTCAGTGGTCCTCATCTGATAGATGCTGGCCATCACTGAAGAGCCACTTGAGCTCCAGAGCTCTCTGTTTGTTCATCTAGGGCTTTATTCAGACTCCTCTGTCCGCCCATGCCTGCCTCCTCTGCTCTTTTCCACAAGTGTTGGTCCCAAGGGCATGCCTTCATAAATATCCTGAATGTGAGACTATCTTAGAGTCTGCTTTCTGAGCAATCCATCCTGCAGCCCAGTCACTTAGTGCCCAAGGCTATTTAGCCAGTAGGTGATCAAGATGGGATTTGAACTCCTTTGCTCAACTCCAAGCCTGCTCTCTCCCTATGTTGCACTCACGGCCTTCTCATCCTACAGAGCTAATTCACAGATTGTTTCATTGGATCTTCCAGATCCGCTCAAATTCTATTCGTTCATTAAGCATTTCAGTGGATGACTGAATTTTCTCTGGATTTAGCCACACTCAAATGATCACACAACTGTTTAATTATAGGCATGTGGCAACTTCAGTCGTAATTAAATTACTGTCTTCCTGTAGGCCCATTTCTAATTAGCCTTCTCATTTCTTTTAAGCTTTATTTTAGTTTACACGCAGTTAAATTGTATGCTTGTTCTAATTGTGCACACACATTTGGTGGGGTTTAAAAGGATGACCTAGAAATGTGTTTTTAAATATATCACACTCATATTATAGACATAATATTTTTTCATTTGTACTTGTTCCCATTTACTTCAAAAATCCCCGGCACACTCTAACTGGATTTGTATTATCTGTTGCCTGACAGCTCTCAAAATAAGGTTTTAAATATAAAAGCAATTTCTAGGCTTTCAGCAAGATCATAACAATAGATCCATTTGCTTGCAGAATTAGCATCATACCTCAACACTATCAATATGTCTGTGTAGGTTAGCAAAAACATATCTTGATTACACTGAACGTTCTGTGTCTCACAACGACTGTTACTCTGCATGCATCCTGACTAATGAACACACCCCTCTTTCCAAAGAGCATTGTTTCTGGAGGAAATAAACTGTTGTTAGTAATGTGTGCTGATTGTTCAGATCCCCTATTCAAAGAAAACCGTGGATGGTTTTTATTTGTTATTTGTGCCTGGCAGAAAA